AGGATAACTTCAATACTACAGTGCGCTGCTCAGAAATGAGCAGCGCTTCACTCCCCAACCCTGATTAGCACCCGTAACACCCTTGAGCCCCTGAAACATCAAGTGCCACCCAGATACAGCCTCCTGAGGGAAGCGCCACCCTGAAACAGGCCTCTGAGGCCAAACGCCACTCAGAGGATGAAGAAGAAGACCAGCGCCACAGTATCTGATGATGACGAAGTGTCGGAAGACTTCCCGGGTGGAAGTCTGCAGCAGCGCCACCAAACCCTGACAAGATGACCTCTGAGGAAGAAGCTGCAGCTATGGCTGCAGCACCACCACCCTGGAACCCCGGAGGAGGGTCCAGCAGGGCACCAAACTCTCTCGCCTCCAGCAGACCTCGATAGCCCAGACCTCTGCCAGCCCCTGCGTGCTGGCAGAGTACAGTGCAGGTCCCAGCTATGGCCGGCGCTCCGAAGGTCTGGCTATGCCTGTCTCTTTCCCCGCTGAGCCGTCACCACTTTCGGTTCACGCGTAGCGCAGCAGCGATGTACTCGGTACCAACTGCCAAAAGCCCTGAACCGATGTGCCCATCCTATCTATACTACACTAGCCTAGACTCGACCTAGACCGGACTGACTGACCGACCGGTACCGTTTCTGTTTCGGCCTCTCGGCCTCTACCGGACCCGGCTATAGGCTATAGGACCGTCTATCAAAATAGGCCCTCAGGGCATGTCTGTCCTAGGGGTAGCCCGGGCCTGGTATTCGCAGTTAGGGTAGCTGTAGGGAATTGCATATTTCCTGAATTTGCAGATATGTCCCTCACGAATTTCCTTCGCAGGTAGGTCTCTCGGTTAGCCCTCAGCCAAACAAAATTTCGAATCTGTCCTACCTATAGTACAATCTCGACAGAGAGAGGCTACAGGCAACCAGAAAACAGCAAGTCATTGCATTCTACTACTTTAACCTGAGCTTTTCATTTTAAAGTTTAAACCTTTTTTTCTCCACTTCTGCCATTCTGCCAATGCACCCTTCCTCTGGATAGCACTTCTTCATATAGCGTACCCCCTGGATGTGTTACTAAATTTCATTCGGCTAAATGCTGCAGTCAGTTGCCGTTCCCTCTCCTTTCTTTTGGAAGCAAGGATCTTGGAAGTTTTGACTGTAGCGTTGGACACCTTATTCAGCGAAACTGTAATCTGTACTGGAATCATGTGCTACGCATACTTCTAAGACTGCACTTTGTAAGTCTGGTGTTTTGACCATCGAGTTATTTATCTTGAAAAAGTCCTGACTCCCTAGCGAGGACTCCCCCAAGCTAATTTCCAACGAAATACACTTATGATCCATCCCAGTAAAAATACTATGAAGAAGTTAAAAGACCCTCTATTTGTGTTAAGCATAGATCCTACAAGGCGTTGAAAGGATTTCACGTGGTCTCAGTGTCCCATTTTGGTCCCTCTCTCAGGGCTCCGGTAGGTCCCAGTCCTAGGGTTCCTAGAGGTTGGTAGTAAGTCCAGTTGGGTCCGGTTACCGAAGCGTCATAGGCTGGTAGGAGGCAGGCCGGTACCCGACAGCAAAAGTCCAGTGTCCCAAAAGTCCACTTGCAGCAGTATCGCAGGAAAGTCCAGAGACTTTTGGAAATCGGGCAACCAGCAGCCGACAGGCCGCGGGGATCGGTACTGGTCCAAAGCAGGCAAACACCAAGCCAAGATCATATTTATAGCTGATACAGTAACTTTCCAAACTACTTGTCAATTTGTGGGATTGCAGAAGCGCTGATTAACGCTTGTGTGACTGTTTGCAACTCGGGCAACACTAGCGCTAACGAAGGAGGATGAAGGTTGCATCATAGCTAGGGTTAGGGGGATAGAAGAAGGCAGCCATAGGCGCAGTAGGAAGAAGGTAGATGCAGGCGGGTGTATTCAGGGAGCGTAGGGAAGGGAGAGCATGAGTGATACAAGTTCAGAGAGTGCAAGTGGTGAGGCTGAGCGATAGAAGGCTTCCGAGAGAGAGAGAGAGAGAGAGAGAGAGAGAGAGAGAGAGAGAGAGAGAGAGAGAGAGAGAGAGAGAGAGAGAGAGAGAGAGAGAGAGAGANAGAGAGAGAGAGAGAGAGAGAGAGAGAGAGAGAGAGAGAGAGAGAGAGAGAGAGAGAGAGAGAGAGAGAGAGAGAGAGAGAGAGAGAGTCAAGGATAGGGAAGTGAGCACATACCTGTTGGCGGTGAAGAAGGGAGGATCGTGGCCATAGCCGCCGTACTTAAACTCAATCTTTGTATAATATATTGATGCTTTTAAGGGCCTTGTGATTTTTCTGTGGATGAATTGAATCGGGGCTCATTGCATTGGTATCGGAGTGATCTCCCGTTGCATCCACGGAGAAAGTGAAGCACCGGTGACGTATAAGTCCGGTGGGTGTGTGAGGGTTGACTGGAGGAGGAGGCCGAACAGACGAAGTGGCAAGGAGAGGGGTCCAAATTGAGGGAGGTGCATACCTGTAGCCGCGAAGATCGAGGAGTGGCATCTTGAAGATTGAGTGAAGTGCTTCTTTCCCCTTGGCCATGTGAATTCTGCATACTGTTGTTTCTTGAAATCTCCCGGTACTCTCCTGGATGCAATTATGCTGCTGGAGAAGAATTATTGTTGATGTCACTTTTGGTTGCAATTTGTGTTGACGTCATTTGGAGGAGTCCTTGAGTCCTTTGAGTCCACTGGGTGTCTGTCTTGAGTCTCTTGGGTCTATGTTTGGGTCTGGTTGAACCGATAGCAGGACTGTGATCATGTCAAGTAGGGAGTGCGGGCATGAGCGGCGGGCATAAGCAGAGATTACTAGCATTTCGACTACTGTGCCCGGACTCTCTCTCTTCTCCTTCTTCTCACACTTCATCTTCCCCTTCTTCCCTCGTCATCCATGGTTTTGTCCCCATATGTGCTGAGCAAGGAGCGATATCTTGTCCATGTACGGTTCCCTCCTTGCCGATGATGGGTGTATTGCATTGTCGTTTCTCCTCACTTCAGTGATTCTTGGTGATGTGTCATGCCTATCTGCTGATAGCCATGCAACACTCTGACCTGCCAGTGGAAAAGGAACTCGGCTGCTCCTCCCAAGAATAGAGAGAATCTGTGCACATAAGGACACGTCTAAAACATTGAAACTACGATGACCCGCACAGTTTCTGCCTGAGACTTCTGCAGTTTTTTAGTACTGATGTTTGTTCATCTGATGTGGCTGTGGTTTTGCATGTGTCCAAGTCTGTATGTGATGCTTGCTATGCCCGTGACCTCTCATGCTGTATTTCCTGTGTCCCAGGAGGGGCAGGACTGACATGGGATAGCGGAGCGACTTAGTAGAAAAAGGCCACAATGGCAAGCTCCCGGTAGGATTTTCCAGCGACTCGGGTAGGCCTAGAGAAGTCTCATAGGCTTTGAAAGGCCCCGTAGCTTCCAAAGACGTCATGATGGTCCAGGGCCCGTACATAGGCAGATATCGGGTTACATACAGGCCCTGAAAGTGGATTGCAGACTACGATGATGTTCGTGCCAGAAGGCACGAGCTTCCAGTAGGCCTCATGCACCGGTAGAGGCTGAAGTACCCGGCCAGGAAGGGACTGGACGCTTGGAGTCCTGAATATATCATTCAGTGCAAGGAAGGCCTGGTGCACCGGTAGAGGCTGAAGTACCCCCCGTGCACCGGTAGAGGCTGAAGTACCCCGCGTGCACCGGTAGAGGCTGAAGTACTCGGCCAGGTAGGCTGGCACATTTAACCAGCGGTCATGCTACTACTCCACCCTGAGGGTGCGTTAGATGGAGCTCTGGGTTCATATGGTGGAGCTGAGGGTGACAGAAGAAAAACTTCCATGTCTATAGAGGAGTTGAAGTAGAAGGAAGTAGGCCTAGGCTATGGAGGGAGAGGGAGAAGAACCTCAAACCAGACTATGAAGAGAGGTAGAGGAAGAGGGTGGAGGTTGAGGGAGAGAAAGGAGGAGGGAACCGACATGACAGACTTACCGGCTATAGAGGACCTTCATCTCTACTTCCTTGGTTGGCGCTGTGTCGAGAAGGCCCCTGTTGAGGTACCTGTTGGTCTTGGACTTCATCCAGAAGTGTGACTATGGCAGCATGAGATAGGAGAGGCACAGTAGTAGTTGTGTTTTTCCGTTGAACATCCCTCGTGCTAGTGGATGTTCTGACAGCACAAGATATGCAACCAAGAGGAGAGGAGTGAGAGTGAGGCCGAAACGAGAGCTCTCTCAGTGCTGTCAGTAAGGTAGATTACTCGGACAATGACTCTTGTTCATTCATTCATTCATTGATGTGATTTATTGTTTACAAGAGGAGAGTAGGAGAGGAGGTGAAGTGCTGGCGAGAAGAGAGGGAGATGACATTGGTTCAAACTTGTGTACTTCTTTCTTCTTCTTCTTCTTCTTCTTCCTCCTTCCTACATTCTATTCCGCTCTTCGTCTTTTTCCACTTCTTCTGGAGTCTTGAAACCGTGCATCACCTCAAAGTTGCATTTTGCATAGTCATTTGTGCAGGACCATAACAACAACAAAAAAAAAAACCACCAGTACCTTTGTCAGTTCGAAAATACTCGGCCTCCGACCTTTCAGGAGGCCGAAACGAAACGACGGCCGCCGATCAGATTGATCAACGTCGGGTTCGGGTACTGGCCAGGACTTGTCGAAACCGGACGCCAAAGGTACTGGTGGTGAAAAAGCTTGCACAGCAGTCCTTCGGGACGTCCGTAACGATACAGAGAAGATTAGCATGGCCCACGCATAAATCGAGAAAGATTAGTAGCTAAGCAATACAAGTAGCAGCTGCCGTGGTCTCATGGTAGTAATAAGTGCAGCACTGCAGCAGCAGCACCAGTAGACCATCACCAGTATACCACTGTTGTGGAGTTTTGTGTGTGTGCACAGGGAGCTAACTATGTATATGCCATTTGGTGTGAGGGTGCATAATGAAGAGCTGAGTGGCTGATCTCTGATGTAATGCTATGCTTGTCTGACTTATTGTCAGGTTCAAGAAGGCGGGTGAGAAGAAAGGAGACGCTGGCGCACAGAAAGCATCTGGGTCGTCTTCTTCAGCGAAAAGTGCCTATTCCACCTGTGCAAGAGATTCATTGATCGTTCTTTACAAGTTTCATGAGGTGCGGAAAATCGATTTTTTTTTTTTTTTTTTCTTCGGAAAATCAAACTTTTAAAGAGTGAAGAGTTCCATAAGAAATACCAACGCGGCTAGCTTAGTTGGCACACCCATGAACTGTTGAGATACAAACCTGTGTTCGGCTCCGTATGGAAGTAGAATCAATAGATGAATGAAAATTCTGAATTACTTGGGGCCTAGCAGTTTGACGATAATATCTCAAGGCCATCGCCCTTTTTTTTGGGTCCATTTTTTGGGACACCCATCAAAATTGGAATGATACACACAGGATTAGAAAGAATGGCCTCTGCCCAAGAATGACGTGTTGACAAGAACTCCAAATATTTTTCCTTAACCTTCTTGAAGTGAAAGGCATGGCATGGCATGACACTGTCCCTCGAGACACAAGAAACCGGTTAGGCCGAAACGCCCGTTAAGCAGAGAAAGTGCATGGGTGCGGGTGTTTTGCGCCGTTTCGCTTTTTTTTCCCCCTGTTCTTTTCCGTGTTCTTGTTTTTGTTTCCCCCCCGAGCTGTATGCAAAATTGCAAATCAAGGAACCAGACTTGTTAAATGCAAGTACACACATGGGCTGTCGGGCACCTTTGTCTTTTTGCGAGTTTTTTCTTTTGCTGTCATTTTGCGTCCCAGAGGGGACTGCCCTTTGAGCGGGGAGTTCGTATCCTGCTTTGTAGGTGACCTGTGAATCTCCAATGATCTGCATGATGGTGGGTTGAGGGAGGGGGGCGAATGCCTGTTCTCCTGAAGTTAGACTGTCTGTGGAGGATAAAGGAGCGGGTATTCTTGTTTGGAACAAAGGAACAACGACAAAAAGCCCGTGGAGCAGGAATAGAGAAACTTGTGGCAGACAAAGAAGCAGGCGTGTTACGGTGGAACGCTTCTGAGTCCTGACCAATAGCTATATACACACAATACAGCTTTTCTTTCTCAGAGGCACTTTTTGCATTGATCTGGTTCTGAACTTCTGATTCAATATAGTATGACTAGTTATAGAAGTCTTACCTGTTTCTCTATTTCCAATAGTAAGTTCTCGTTGACCACAACCTATTGGATGGAACAAGGCTATCCACCGCTTTGAATCCTGTTTGCAACTTTGCATTGCTTCATAACTTCATGCACAGATTTACGTGAAATAATTCCCGGAGCTTTGACTTCTACAAGTCTTCGCTCTACGGCACCTAAAGCGCCTTTTCCATCAATAGGTATTCCTAACTTCCCGTCTACTGATTCACTTAGTTAGGTACTACGAGCCCTCTGTCCCATTCGACCTGAATGGTTCACCGGTTCGACCATCCCGAAATGGGGTTCCAACTGTCAGAAGGTTGGGCGATGATACACGATAAGAGGTGTGGTGGCGGTGGCATGGCCAACTGGAGATGAGCATGTCTCCAGTAACGAAGGTGGAACAACGGGAAACAAGACAAGTGAGTCTGTTTGCAAGCGAGAGCGTGGAGGAGATGGTGGCAGTGAGATGCAGTGCGGCCATCTGTGGCCAAAAGCACAGAGAGAGAGGGAGAGGGGGGTTGATTGGGCTTTAGCTGTGTGACGTTGGTGGATATGCTGGGATTTTCAGACAAGGCATTCGTGCTCCCGAATGTCAGATGTCAAGTCTGTATTGGAAATATTGGTGTAAACCCCCTTGCAGAAGGCATACCGGCCATGCTGGTGCGGCTTTCTCAATATCAGCAGAGATACAGCACCAGTTACCGGAAGCAGCTTCAGAGAGGAAGTGATGCAACGAGGTACAAACTTCGGATTGGGAACCCAAAAGACGACACAAGCAGTTAACAGGGACCCCCACTTTTCAGCCCTGTTTTAACCCCCCCAGCACTGGAGAGTGTATTTGGGGATTTTTTTTTTCAGCTTTTTTCTTTTTTTTTTCTTTTTTTTTTTTGGTTGCCCTGTTTTATTTTTGGTTCCACTAGTACCTCCCGCAGTGTTGGGAAATTAGGGAAAACTGGCAGCTTTCCCAAAGTCCTGAAAATTTGGAGGCTGGGTCCGACGGCGGCTGCCATTGATAAATCTGATCGGCGGCGGTCGTTTCGTTTTGGCCATCCGAAAAGGTCGGAGGCCCACCCGAGGCCCGCTATTTTCCCACGCGGCAAAGGAACTAGTGGTTTACCCGCTTCTCAAAGCAGATCAGCAGTGAATGGCCTAACTGGGGGTGCTGGCAAGAGAGGCACAGAGCGAGGAGCTGTAGACAACGGGGAGCTACGCGAGAGTGAGGGGGTGTTCGTAAAACGGGTGCAGTGTGAGAGGGAACGCCTGATGAAGGAACAAACAGATCAACAGTAGATGTGGGAGGGCCGCAGGGAGGGGAAAAGAACGAGCTAAGGTAAGAGGAGGCCGGGTAGGCTGAGGGACAAAGGGATAACCGCCCGTTTCTCTCCAATGATGAGGCCGTGAGTGCCGTCCTGTTGATGGTAGTCTGGCAAGTTGAAGGACTGCTTTAAGACCCAGGGGGTGGAGGGTTCAAGGTCGCCAAATCCAGAAACCCTCGTGGGTTGCAGCAGCTCGCCAAATGATCAACAACACCCTTGCTCTTGGCCCCCGCCGCGGACGCGACAGGCATCCACTTGTTTTATTCAAAGAAACTTTCCATTAATTAAAAGGAAATGAGGGGCCGGCCTCCCCACATAAAGACCGGATCTGGGAACATTACCCAGTGTTATGCTTTTTACGGGACCCCTGGGGACCCGAGGCAGATGCCACCTTAGCCAAGTTGGGTACCCCCTCGCCCCTAATAACACTGTTCGCTCACGGGTTCTAAGCCATGTCCTTCCTACCATTCGTAAATTGCTAATTGAGCCGTATGAATTCAAAGACTTGTGTACGGATCTAAGAAAGGGAGAATTACGAAGAATCTTCCTATTTCAATAATGAAGTAACAAGCAATTTGTTAAATAAACGCAAAGAGATGATATTAGATAGTATTTGCGATGCTGAACAACGATATAAAGATGCTACAGAAAAGCTCAAGCAAGCAAATTTAGATTTTGAAAAAGCCAAATTGAAGGCTCATGAAATTCTAATTCAAGGTTCTACTCAAATAGAGATTGAAACAAGGCTGAATTTCCGGTCCCACCGGGGCCCCCTTCCCCCACCGGAACCGGGCCGGTGGTGCCGGCCGGTGGAGAGCACCGGTTCCCCACCGGTTGCAAATTGCGCAATTCGCTGTTCTTCCATGCAGGTCGTGGAGGCCTCCCGGCCCCCCAAAAAAATCAAACGTTGTTCTTCCAGATGAATAGCTATGTTTTTTTATTCTTCTAAATTTTGAGAGTCACGATCTGCAGCATAAATCAATTCCTTCTTTTCAATCCAGGGCTGCACCGGGCACCGGCCGGTTGGACCGGACCGGACCCAACTGGGCCGGTTGGAACCCTGGTGGTCCAACCGGAATTCCGGTTGGGGCCAAAACGGGGTCCATTTTTATTTTTTTTTTAATTTTGATGATGGGGTTGGACTGCGCTTGTCGAGATCTCCCCGAATCCGCAGAGAAATATTGATATGCAAATTTTTTTTTCATGGGGGGGTGGGGGGGGGGGGGGGTGAAAATTCATGAGTTGAGGGTGGGCTGCATTTCAGGGGTTTCCTCCTCCTCCTCCTCCTCATCATCATCATCATCATCATCATCATCATCGTCATCATCGTCATCATCATCATCATCATCATCATCATCATCATCATTATCATCATCGTCGTCGTCGTCATCATCATCACCATCATCATCATCATCATCATCATCATCGTCATCGCCGTTGTCGTCGTCATCATCGTAGTCACCGTCGCGGTCGTCGTCGTCACCCTCATCATGATGTCATCCTTCGTAATCGTCGTCACCTTCATCATGATGTCATCCTTCGTCGGCGTCGGCGTCATCGTCGTCACCATCATCATGATGTCATCCTCCATCATCATCATCATTCACTGTCCATGATGTCATCCTCCATCACCATCATCCGCTTGTCGTCGTCGTCATCGTCGTCACCTCTACCCCCCGCGCGCACCCACTATCTTTGCTCTCTCTCTCTCTCTCATCATCATCCACTGTCCATGATGTCATCCTCCATCATCTTCTGTCGTCGTCGTCACCATCGTCATCACCATCATCATCCACTGTCCATGATGTCATCCTCCATCATCCGCTTGTCGTCGTCGTCGTCGTCGTCGTCGTCGTCGTCATCATCGTCACCTCTACCCCCGCTCGCGCCCACTACTTTGCTCTCTCTCTCTCTCTCTCTCTCTCTCTCTCTCTCTCTCTCTCTCTCTCTCTCTCTCTCTCTCTCTCTC